TTCCCCTGCTCCAACGCCTCCATGTCGTGCTGGGGGCTCCAGAGCTGGACACAGGACTCCAGGTGGGGTCTCACCAGAGCAGGGTAGAGGGGCAGAATTCCCTCCCTCACCCTGCCTGGCCACATTTCTTTTAATGCAGCCCAGGACTTGGTTGACCTTCTGGGCTGCAAGCACATGTTGCCGGGTTGTGTTGAGCTTCATGTCAACTGACAGCCCCAAGTCCTTCTCCTCAGGGCTGCACTCAATCCGTTCATCTGCCAGCCTGTATTGATACCAGGGGTTGCCCCGACCCGGGTGCAGGACCTTGCACTTGACCTTGTTGAACTTCATGAGGTTCACACAGGCCCACCTCTCAAGCCTGTCAAGGTCCCTCTGAATGGCATCCTTTCCCTCCAGCGTGTCGACTGCACAACTCATCTTGGTGTCATCAGCAAACTTGCTGAGGTTGCACTTGATCCCACTGTCCATGTCACCAACAAAGGTGTTAAACAGTGCCAGTCCCAATACCTACCTGAGGAACGCCACTCGTCACTGGTCTCCACTATCTAGTTTTACTGTCTAGTAGAGCACTAGCTGATTAGGTCTGAGACCAGGGAGTTTTGAGACGCTCCTCCTGGGTATACAGAGGAGCCACGTGAGGCTGTCGTGACCTCAACAGGGTTGATACTAGGCTTCCTCACATCAGTCATTTCCCCAGAGTAAGTGCATGCCACCATTCTTAGCCTCCCAGCAGGAGCTGTTAATGAGTGGTGTGCATTTGTTCCATTTGTTTGTTTTCCTCAAGCATGACTGTGAATTTACAACTTGCTATGAAGTATAGGCTCAGCGTGTGGTAAGTCTTCACAATAAAATCTGCATGTTGCTTCAGCAGACAGGTAATCAGCCATCAGTGGGGTAGAATTTTCTTCCGTTCGGTCTAGGAAGGAGGTGGCACCATGACCTGCCAGAAGTATGTGAGTTTTTCCAAATGGTGAAAATAACTTCTGACTAATTTAAGGATCTTGGTGTCTGATTTAAAACAGAATGATGCTCTGAGAGTCTGCAGGAAAGAGGCTGTGTAAGTAAGTTAGCTGTTGATGCCAGCTTCCGCTTCTCTGAAAGTGCAGTTTGTGTACACAGGCTGAGTGAAAGGATCAAGTTTCTGGTCTCATTGGTTAAGTAAACAAGTGCAGCTTTGTCAGCTGATACATAGAGTTAAGAGAGACTTTTTGGATTTTGTTAGTATAAACAGACCTAACTTCTCTTTTATTCCTGC